AAGTGCACATATTTACATATAAGAGTAATTGTATGAACTGGGTTTGCTGAAGCAGCCATCTAAGAGACTTAATCGATGAAGTATAGAATGATGTTCTAAAACAGATTGTAGTAATTAATGCCTTTTGGTATGTTGAATTGGAAAGATGCTGGATAACAAACACTTGAAACATCTGAAGATCCTTCTAGGATTAAGATTATGATTGAAATCAGGTCCAGTCTAGATAGGAAGTTAACTGTGGATCATGTGAATTCTCTCCTTATTGTACAATCTAAATTCTTTCCCTGTGGAACAGACTTGTTTCTGTTCAACAGCCGTACATATGAAGAGGATATACCTATTCTCACCCCATTAAACACCCACCATACTGCTGATTAAAGCTACCAGACTACAGATAATGCATTAGGAAAATACTATCTGATTTGATGTGCGGTGGCCCTAGCTTCATATTGCGCAAACGTTTACCTTCCTAATTCTTGAAGGGAGGCAAGTGGTAGACAAGCCAGTGGGCTGTCAAAGTCCAAGATTCCGCAGATTTGTTTCAAACGCAAAACAAGCCTGCTAATGGTACGTGTTTGATAGCTCTGTGGATCTTCTCTCTAGTAAGATAAAATACAAAGAAATTTTGAGCTTTTGATGAATTTCATGTGTACTCGATCATACTGGATTAATCAGCGCCCATTAACGGTTTGATTTTACTGCATCTTACTGGTACAGGCCTGTGTCTTTTTTCCTTTTCGTATGAAAGTTTTTGCATGTAACACCCTTTGTGTACCTTATAATAACTCTTTTTCTGGGGCCATCATAGTATTTTTTTTAAAAACCTCTCGTAGTTCTCAGGAACAAGATTTTTTAACATAGGGAAGTAAGAGCATCAGGAGAAGCTGAAAAAATGTCTCAATTTCGCCTACTGTAGAAATGAGCAAAAGTATATATTGCACGTTGTAAAACCTACAGTGTAACAGCACTGGTTTAAACTTCGTTTAAAATTTTTTTTTTTTTTGAAATCCTGAGACAGCCAGCAGCATTGGAACATCTGTCGTTGGTGAGGTATAGTTTTGGGACGGCTTCCTGACGTTATTTATTGTTCACATATTTGTTTCTAGAAGAAAAGGTGTCAATTTATGTTGACTTAAGTGGCCTTAATCGTTAAATAACTTAAAGAAATCTACCAGTAAGTAGACTGCCATTCAAGTAGATGTAGGACAGAAGTTTTAACTTGGAGTATCTTAGATCTTGTGGATTTTGAAATTTGAGTACTTTGTCAATTCAGGATTTTTTTTTTTTTTGGTGTTCCCTGCAGAGCTTTTTGTTCAGGGTGAGATGATTGTGCCAAATACCTGAATGTCTTAAGCATATTTCTGTAATAGTTAATTGGATTTGCTTGAGCGTTGTAAAACTTAAAATTACTTCCCTTAATTGAGAACGGAACAGGGCTACTACCTTCTGTAAACCTTGATGACACATCTGCTATCAAGAGGCATTTGCTTTTGAAAGCAGCAATTCAGAGCAAAGATAATGCTTTATGCAGAATATGAAGATCGTAGCTAATCATTAATTCACAACCAGCCCCTTAAAACTGTAATAGGCTGTGGCTTCTCTTCCTAGCAATGTGTGGTAGTTGACTACGCGTAGTCTCAAACCTAAATTAAGCCTTTGTTTGCTTAATATCTCTTTCTTGCTTTTTATGTTGTTTGACAGTGGATCTTTAAAGGTTCTTTATAGACTCCAGGTGTATCTTTCTTCATACATTGTCTGTTCCAGACTGTAGGATCCTAGCCTGTTTCCCTACATGGGCAGGCCCTGTTCTTTAGTTGAGATTTTGTTGCTCTTCTTGGGACACCTCTCAGTTCTACTACCCGCTTCTTTGAGATGGAGGGATGGGAGCAAAATTTCACACAGTATTCAAGCTGAGGCCCGTTGTGGATTTGTACAGTGGCACGATAGTGTTATATTTTGGTTTCTTTCCTGGTTGCTAATCTTTGATTTTATGCACGTTGAATTCTGTGTATCGAGGAGCTTAAGGAGCAGGCTGCAAGACCAGGAAAAAAAGGGTGTATCATGCAGGTTCAAGGAATGGTGGGGGGGAGGGGGAGAAGCATTAGAAGGAAGACACTAACTACTGAGTACTCACCCTGAAGACTCTAATAGCGAGCAGCTTAAAGGGAGGAACTCGTTTTTGTGACTTATCAGACGAGATGATTAAGCAGCTGCTCTTGTTTTGTACAGACAACTTAAAACCAACATGTTCTTGTAGTTCCTGACGGTTCTAACCATTGATCCTTGTAGCATGTATGAAAACTCATGCTTGATACCTCCTTTTGTTGTTTTAAAGACTTTGTAATACGGAGTGCATAATACTATCTGTGTTTTGTTCAGCTGGTTCATTGCTGTTTGTTAGAGACTGCATAGACCATGAAATTGAATTCTCCTTTGCATTTACTTATCCTCTCCTAATGCACCAAAGTTGTTCTTGCTGGCAAAGCTTGACTCCGAACAGCGAACCCTTGGGCTTCTGGCTAATGATTCATCTACTATGGGCAAAAACTGTAAATTTCAGTAACACGCTGCTTATCGCAGCAAAATCTTATTGAATTCAACTCTTCATATGCATCTTTGTAGTTAGCTTGCTTGCCTGTCAGTCATCTACAATTATTTCTGGCTTCAGTTAGTAACTTGGTATTTGAATATATACAATAAATGTTCTCCTTCCCACAGTGTTTTTGTGAAACTACAGAAGCCAAATGCTGCCATTAGAGACTGTGACAGAGCCATCAAGATTAATCCTGACTCAGCACAGACCTACAAATGGAGGGGGAAAGCACATAGGTAATGAACTGCAACTGTGCTTCATATCCTCTTCACTTGCTTGAGGAGAACAATTTTATTTATGCCTTCTGTCCTTCTGTATTTCTCTGTGATATGCAGTTTGTCTATCGTGTACCTAAGAGCAGTAGTCATGAGCCAAGAAACCATTATGCTAATTGTGTGTATTGATGGCTTACAAGAAAGAAAGGATGATGATTTGGAAGTAGTCCTTCTGGCGTTGCCTTGCCTTTTTTTTTTTTTTTTTTAAAAAAAAAACATCTTCTCAAGGCTTACTTCCGTTCTGTGTAGCATCTTCTAACTGTTTGCTAAAGATTATGAGATCTAGGACTGTGGATTTTATTTGTTTGAGGATCTTTTATTTTTTAGTTTAGTTTTTATTTACTAACTTAGCATTCTAAACATTGCTTGGCTGCCCTTATTCCACAGGATCCTAGAGCGCTTAAGTAGTAAATTCAACTGCTTATGTACTTAGGGAACCATGTGTTTCAACTAGAGAGTAGTAAACAAACAGCGTAATTACCTAAAATTGTATTGGGCCAGTGTACCCCCTCCAATTTTACTTAGTTCAAAGTTTTTTCTAGAATGACAGTGAATCATCCAAAAATAATATGGTAACGCTTCTTACAGGCTCTAAAAGTGGAAGGAATGGGCATTAATAGAACTTAAGAAAACCCAAACTGTATATTAAACAGTGTTGAGAGGGTAGTTTATTAATGTCTACAATTTTAATATATGGCATGGAGCTTAAGAGTGAGAAGGCTAGAGAGCATAGGTTGGTTTAACAGCTTTATCTGTAAGCAAAACTGCTCTGAGGCGTTGGCAGTACTGTCATTTGCTCAAATTTTTAATTATCACAAGTTTGTCTAAATGAAGAGTTAAATAGTGCTGTACAATAGCTTTTGGGACCCCTTCAACTAAGACATGGTGCGTTCACACAGTTAGGTAGGTTGTTTCAGTGCTGAATAAACAGGGTCCACTTAAGCTTGGTTTAGCATTAGCCTAGACTTGCACAGAGCACTGAATTTACAAGGAGTGGTCATGTAACAGGATTCAGCAAAGAAATATTACTATTTTTAAAATACGGTTTTAAGTGCTTCAGAGAGTATTTATTAGTTTACTTCCATGTTTTTAGGTAGGGTGCGTTCTCTTTAATAGCTTCTTTATAGCAAAGAATGGCACTAGTTCACTTAGGGTTCCCCCCGCCTCATTTTTTTTGTTTCAAGCAAAGGCTCTTTTAAGGGTATGAAGCAAGCAAGTATCCTCTAATGGCTTCATAGTCTGTAGGTTACAGAAAATGCCATAATTATTACCAAGACTTGAAGTTCACTAAGTCCATATAGTTGCAGGTAAAAAATATAATTTCATGACACATGGTTGTAAATACCTTGCAGAACAGCAGGAGTTCAGTTTGTTTTTTTTTTTTTTCTTTTCTTTTCTTCTGAATGTTGGTGTCTTCTCAATTCCAGACTTCTGGGTCACTGGGAAGAAGCTGCACATGATCTTGCATTGGCTTGTAAACTGGATTATGATGAAGATGCTAGTGCGATGCTGAAGGAGGTGCAACCAAGAGTAAGTGGGGCGGGTTTAATATAGGTCCCTTGTTTGTTTGCGTTTGAGAGGCATTGCTGCCTTCAAATTCTTTCGGTATGCATTATCTTGTGGGAATGTGGGATTGTTCATATGTCATCTGACACTTCAAAGTAAGTTTACAAATACTTCATGTCTTTAAATCACAGCTGTTTATGGCTATGCGTAGATAAATTGGGTCTGTGAAACTGCATGCTCAAAAAAACCTCTTAAATAGTATGTTAGTCTTTTTAAATCTTAATAGAAAAATCCCAAGTGATTGAAGTTAGCCTGGCATTTTATACCCTTGACGGAAAACATTCAAAACAGCAAGAGAGCCCTCAGATAATGGATTCCCCCCCCCCCCCCCCCCCCCCCCATATATCAATGTATATCATCGAGTATACACTCGATGATATACACCCTGTAAATCATCGAGTCAATACACTCGATGTTTCTGAATCGAGGTCAAAGCTTCATCCGAAACAGGATGTACCTAGGAAGCGTTCTTTACTGTGATTAATACTTTCAGTTTCCCACCACACGAGGGCAGCGTAATCTATGTGAGACTGATTTTCAGGTCAAATGTTTGACCCCAGCATTGTCCTAATGAAGGACTACTGTGTAACAACTGTTAAAGACTTGATAATAGGCTTTCTTTTTCAACTCATTTACATATTCCGTTGAAGCGCTTCACTGACCCCTTTGCAACTCTTGCATAAGTATTCCTATATCAAATAGTTTTAGCTTTTAGTTTTCCTACCATGTCTTTGTAGATGATTTTCTCTGTAAAACAATGATTCAGCCCATCTTACAAACTAAGTCTTCCGTATTGGAGACTGTTTATCTGTGATAAATCCAGTTGGGTCATAGGCCTCAAACTTTTCTGTCAGAGGTTTACTTGATTCTTGGCTAAAGGGGAACTTCTTATTTCCCAGCTGATCTGCCTGTGCACAGAAGGAGCGGAGTACGGCTATTATACATTGATGTGTACTTCCCAGCTGTGTAGGAATATGTGTATGCAGCTTAAGGGGAAAAGGTTTCATGGGTGGTCTTTAATACAAGTGAGAGTAATATATTCACTTAGTCTGTTTGCTTCCAGCTTTTGTAGCGCTCCCTGATCTGTAGCCTTTCCAGCTGAAAGTTTTAAGTTAAAAGTTCTAGAAATGTTTAGTTCATTTTGAGAAATACTTAGATACTCTGAAAGTTAAAACTTTGGAAACACTTAAGTTTCATTCATAAACATATTTGTCTCTCTCTTATTGAGCCATTTCATGGCCAGAAGCTTTTTTTGAGCATTAGCTTCTGATAACATGTACTGCTTTCGGTATCAGTCGGTTCTACTGTCTGCAACCTGCTTTCTCTGAGAAAAGTTCTAGAATCATGTGGCATGGGATGAATATCTGCTAGCTAAAATAAGTTGTATCAAAACTTTTGTTACTTTAAAAAAAAAAAAATTTCTTCTTTTAGAGGGTATTCTGAAAGGATGGAAGAGTGGCCATATGTAAGAGAGGTTTCCAGCCATGATTTGTACTGCCTGGGTAGCCATCATCTACAATGTTGTCCTTTAGAGCTCAGCAGTTTGTGAAATCATGGACCGTTTTTGCAGTACCCTTATATTTAAGGGTACATTCTAGTTTCAAGAAAGCAGTGCTGCAGTTAGTATTCTATTAAGGATATGAGCTGAGTGAGGAGCCTTAGGGAGATGACTGCTAACTAGCCTCCTCCACTGGGGCTATCAAGTCAATACATTTGAGAAAAAGCTAATGGTAGTAAGCAAATTTTCTCCCCAGCTGCCCTATCTGACTTTGGTTCAGGTATTCTTCCTAGGTCTGCTTGAGCCTAGCTGTATGTGCTACAGCATATTTGGAATAACGCTAACCCTGACTAAAAAGGGGAAGGGAAAAATTATTTTTCCTGTTATTGTGCCAGAGAAAATTCCCTGTTCCGGTACCAGTTGCTGATACTAGCCCTGGAGAAGTTAATAATGTACCAACAGGAAGGTATGTGGAAGCTTAACGTATTTAAGTTCTAATTAAGGTATAAGTCTGGCGAGGGGGGAAGCATGTTAGGAGTTCATGTTCTGGTGAACCCAGTTAGGGCCTGGTAGACATAAATGACTCTTGCAAAGCTCAGAAAAATGAGGAAATCGCAAATGTTTCCTAAAACAAAGAGATTCTAAAGATGTGAAATCATGAATGTTATTTTTAAGAACTGGTAAAGACAGATTGTTAAGCTTAGTTGTATTTAATATTGAAATATGTTACGTGCGGTGTACTAGAAACGGACACGAACCCTTGATACTGTTTTGTAACAGGCTCAGAAAATTGCAGAACATCGCCGAAAATATGAGCGGAAGCGTGAAGAAAAGGAAATCAAGGAAAGAATGGAGAGAGTGAAGAAGGCACGAGAGGAGCATGAGAGAGCACAAAGGGTGAATACTTAGACTTCAGTATTTCTTAATCAGTTGATGAGTGCCACAGTCATTTTGGTTAAAATGAATTGCACATAGGAAAACCATTTTCATTTTATGTTTTATAATTACATTTTGGAGAAATTATTTCTGTTTTGGTTACTTTACCAATAATGAAATCTGAAAAAGGGGGTCTTATATTCCTTCTGCTTTTTATGACAAAAACCGACGCTAGTTCTCTACTAATCCTGTACTTTAAGAATTCAGTTATTGTATAACTGTATCAGAAAAGTTTTCACTTGAAGTACTTGTTTCCCCCAGACTGTGTGTGTGTGGGGGGGGGAGGATGTTAAATTCAGGATAATCCTTTGTTTTTCTTCCTCACATCCTGACATACTGTTTGCTAGCTTTTTCTCATGCTTTAACGATACATTTTTACAAGTTATGTGGGGGGAAGGGTGGGAGTTAAGTTAAATTTTTTTAGGGCTAACAGGCTAGAACAAATTGCATCGTTCATATTCAGTAAAAACACGTTTAACTTGCCCCTTATTATTTTAATATGTTTTTCCAGGTACCGCTGTCTGTCTGTTTTCTGTAGTTTTGTACACAGTCAAGTGCTTCTTGTTTATTGCTGTTAGCCCATGTGCCTGAAACAGTCTCAGTTATCTTTTTCCTCCGCAAATCGACTGAGCAGTAGAAAACAGGCTGTAGTTCTATTGCTTTCTGTGGAAAAAGGCTACAATTCCGTTGCTTTCTCTGGAATGACGTGCTTTTGTCTGCAGGAGGAAGAAGCAAGACGGCAGGCAGGAGGAGCTCAGTTTGGTGGTTTCCCAGGTGGCTTCCCAGGTATTTTATTTTTAAGCCCTGATAGCTGAGGTGGAGGTAACTGGTCTTTCCATAGGGAGCTGGGTTTTTTTTTGTATTATCACCACAATTTGTACAGCCTTTCTTCTCAAGGCTGAGAGAAAAATGTATGAAACTTAGAGCTTGTCTACAGATAGCTCTTTTTATACAGTAGCAGGAAGCAGAATGGGATTCCTTCTCTTAAATGTGATTCATGCTGAATTCAATAATGATAATTAATGGAGTGAAAGAATTCAGATCTGAGAAAACAAAGATGCAGTGTTTGCGTAATAGTGCATGATGAAAAACTTGTATAAAAATGTGCTCTAAATTACCTGGGATGGCTTGACCTGTTTCTGCTTAAGAACAATAGTATTAAAGTAAAAAAATTGGATTGAATATTAAGGAAACTTGTGCTGTTTTTGCGAGCTGTGTTGAACAGAATAGTTTCTCAAAAGAGGTGGTGCATTCCACTCTGTGGAAAAGCTGTAACTTTAGTATTCTTCAGAGAACTGTTCTTGAACAGTTTCATGGAAAGCAGGCCTTCCATGATATTCTGGATTCTCTCGAACTTACTGTAACTAAAAAATAAATGCTAATGCTCTTGAAGACTGAGATGTAGATGGGGAAGGCTGGGTGCATGGTCCAACAAAGTCAGTTTGTCAGGGGAAGCAAATGGAGAGAAACTTATTTTCACCCTGCTCAGCACAATGCGGGTTTATGCCGCTTAAGTCTTCAAAACTGGAACCTCAAACGTTTTGCTTTAGGGTTTTTCTGTTTTCCCCCTTTGGTGCTGTTTTTCAAACCTAAAATTCTTGCCAAATGTGGAATGTGCCTGAGACGTACTACTGATCTGCTTTTGCCACAGGTTGTTCACCTCGTGCAGCTGGTTTGTTAACTTAAACCAGAAAATAACTGCATCTCTGTACAAGGTGCTAGAATCTGACACTTGTTATAAGCCTCCCCTTGGATTAAAAATATGGATTAAAGGAGATGCAGACCTTCACAGAAAGAGCAGGTTGAAGCCCCTGTTTTCCATTTAGTGGAGCAACTGTAGCCTTGCGGAAGATACAGCTTTGAAGGTGTGATAAAGGAATATGTCTTGGTCTCTCTGCATGAGCTCATGGTTAGATGAATTAAACCTTTTCCATTGTGTATTCTTGTTTTCTTGGGTTTGCAGGTGGATTCCCTGGGGCTATGCCTGGAGGTATGCCAGGAATGGCAGGTATGCCAGGTCTCAATGAGATTCTCAGTGACCCAGAAGTCCTTGCGGCCATGCAGGTGAGGATTTGATAAAATCAAAGCTAAGTGTTAAGAGTGAGGGAAAGACAGTGCCCATGAGCTAAGGGAAGGAAGGAAGATGTGACCTTTTTGATAGCAATAGAGTGCTTGCCTATTTCTGTTGTCAAATTCTCTCCTTTTGTGTGGCACCACGTTGTCTGGAATCAGTGTTAGCTATTTTTCAAATTCACAGGACCTTAATTAAAGGTTCCCCCCAACACTGTATTTGCTTACAATAGAGAAAACCGCGCTGTATAGCGTTCTTCAGCTTTTTGGCATGTTGAATCCGTTGGATCGGTGTCTTCTACGGGGTATTAATCGACTTGCTCCTTTTTTGAATGCACAGAAATTGCAGCGAGACAATTATGCACAAATGAAGAATGATTGTTAATATTGTTGCAACGCAATATAATACAATTGTGTTGAGATGAGAATTGCCTTTGTCTTTAGAGAATCAAGTGTTTGTTTTTTGCCAAAGGCAAAATAGTTTTGGATTATTTCCACATCTAATGTTTTCAAAACTAATGTTCAGAAAGCTCGCTCTCCTCGTGGGCTTGATTAATTGTTGAATTAATTGCTCTGTGTCATAACTAGTTTTATACAAGAAAAGTATTCTAGCAGTTTACAGTGGAGCATATCTGACAACATCAGTTTTATAGACAGGTGGGCTAGACAAAATCTGAGCTATGTGGTTATATTTACATATCAATATGGTCAAGTATAAAAGTGTCTTGTCACCTTTTCTGGATTCCTCTGGTTTAACTAGAGTTTCATGATGTTCTGAGGTCATCGAACAGATGTATTGCGTATACAGTTATGATCACCTTCTAAATAAAAGTGTAGCAAGGGAGCGTTATTTGATGTGCCCTCAAATTGTGAAAGATGCAAGATTTTCCGTATAAAAGTACATGGCTTTTAATGTTTGCTGGTATTTGGAAATACACCTTTACACCTTTACATTCTGTAATGGTGACTTGCATCCAAACCATCCAAAAAAAGGACTTGTATTCATTAACCTGGCTAATTTACACTGTAATACAGGAGTTTGAAATGACAATTGCTGAAAACAGAGCTTTGAATTGCAGTTGAATGTTAGGTGCTTGCAAAATGCATTTTTGCATGCTGATGGTATGTACCCCAAAATACTGTAGTACTCTGTTGCAAGAAAATGTGGTGACAGCGTCTTTTTTTTTTTTTTTTTTTTTTTTAAACCTTTCAGCGAAGCCTTGGGTCTCCTTTTGACCTCTTTTTGTCCGAACTTTAAACCTAGGCGTGATCTATTCAGCATGTCACGTATATTTGTGCTACCTTCTTTTCCTAAAATGTCCAACTGACTACATTCTGGTATTCTGTATCAGCAGTGTAAGCTCTGGCCTTAAAAGGTATTAGTAGTTGTTACTACTTGGCTTGCTTCTGCTCAGTGCAACTACAGAATATGTTGAAGGAAAGTGGTAGCTGGCAGCTATTAGCACAGAGGTTAACGACGAGGTGTTACAGAAAAGTCTGAAGAATTTTAAGTGACACTTGTGTGGAGCCTCTTCACAGTGAGGAAATTGCTGCTGAAACTGGAGTTACATTGAGAGTAAGGGTCACCTCCTTGTCTCCAGTCTGCTAGCAAACTGTCAGCTGCTCATCTTTGGGACTTCTCCATGAGCTAACATTGAAATATGCGCGAGTTTGTTACCATCCTGGTAAACCTTAGAACTGTGCATGCCTGAACATGAACTAAATTAAACTGGTTTCACTGTCAGCTTTAGCTTGTCACCTGTAGAAGCAGGCTACCAATGGGTAAATTGATAAAAGTTACTGCTTATCATTGGCATTGTTGCAGGAATTGCACGGTTGTCACCTTTTACCGAAGGCATGATGCAGTTGCCACCTTTTACAGCAGGCATTACACAGTCACCATCTCCAGACGTTTTGGCTCAACCCTAGGTCTCCGCTTATTTTCCCAGTTCAGCATCAACTGTTTTTCTAAATAACAAAAAAATGGTTTATTACGCGTAATAAAGGTACAGCCTAAGCTGAGTGCCTCCAAGGAGGGACCCTGTCCACAGATTCTTGGTTCTATTTATCCTGTTACAACCCGATCGCAACCTCCCCCTCAAAAGTCTGATCCCTATTAACTAATCTCACAACTTCTGTTATTCATTTGCATCGTGTGGTCCATTGGCGCTCTGTTGCTGGGAGGGGTTTCTTTAGGTTACCTCTGTGTAACCATTGCAGATAACTATCAATATTCCCTGTTCTGTAAAAACAGGCTCCAGCTGGCCTTGACTGCGGCCTAATGCTTCGACTGCTTTAGTGACTAGCGCTAAGTGTTAGTACTCTTGCTCTTTTCTTCTTACAGCATGTAGATAAGAATCTCTGCAAGCTGGTATAAAAGCTTCCTTCTCGACAAAAATTTTTGGTTCTGTTGCCCAAGTATTTATTATCTTCAAGGTACATATTTTTTTCTTTCTCAAATTGTGGCTGATGCTAGTCTTTTATGTGCAAAAGACTCAAAAGTGGTAAACTTGTTGGTGTATTTCTTTTTGAAGGCTTCTTAGCAACAGTAGTTGTGATCTTTTGTGATAACTTCTAATACATCTTATTTTAGCCAGCCTCTCCCTGAGCGTTTTATAGTCTCAAAGAATTTGCTGAGATGCGTATTCCTGGGGGAGAGGGTAATGTTTCTCCTCTTTCGCCGTTCTGGCTGTCTGGAGAGTTCTGTAATACTTTATCTTGCATGTGCAACTGCTTTCTCTGGACATGACATGACATTTATGTTTTGGAAAGCATTTCTGGGTTAAATATAAATCCTTTCAAAAGGAGTGATGTGTAAGAGGATCCTGTGGATTACTTATTTGACGTGTAGTCACGTGTTGGACGCAGGCTTCCATAGAAATGCATACACTAGAAAAAAGAATAGTGATAACTGTTTTCCCTTAAAAGTGTTTTTTATCCTTCTGCAACTAAAGACTAGAGCACTAGAAAACTGAATGTTTGACTAATACTGTTTATAGAAAGGCCCCGTTTCCCTATTATGTATTGACATTTCAGTAGATTAACTGTTACGGTAACCTTAAACTCCGAAATTTCATTCTGAAAGCATTGTTCATGAGTCTGAAACCTTGATTATAGAAATGTTTAATTATAACCGATACACATATAAACAAAGTCTGATGTTGAAGACGTGCAGGAGAAGTTACGTAAGTGCAGAATAACTTACTCGCAGTCCGTTCATAAGACCATGAAACATCTAGCATGGAATTGGAGACTTGACATGAAATGTAGGTGTGCTTTGACACTTACGATCCAGTGGCTAAACTTATTCTGCTTTGTATTTTGAATTCATGCATAGGTGGAAACACAGATTTAGCAAAATGGCTGCTCTTTATAGTTACATGCCCAGTTTTGAAATCAGAAATTGGAGAGGTTTAGGTATGTGGAAATTTTTTCTTTTCTTTGCACAGAAATCCTGTAAAGTGGCAAAGATAAATCTAATTCCTATTTTCTGAACTTCAGCGTTCTAATTTTCATGGACTTTGCAGATTCCCCTTTGTAGGGGAGCAAAAACACCTGTAAATGCCTTTAACAAAAGATAAGACTTGACTCAGTTGCCAGCACGTGTAAAACATGACTGAAGCATGTGGGTGATTTCAGTGGAGTACACACCTACCAAAGGCAGTTCTGGAGCAGACTTGTTAAACAGCTTTTGTCTATATCTGATGCTAGAAAAGATGCAAGGTGGTGTTATTGTAGTGCTGGCAGCTCTGAGGACACCAGTTGGTTTTTGACGTTTCCAAAGAACACGTTTGTGGGAGCAGTGGGATAGAAGTCTAGGGAAGATTGTGTCGGTCACTGAAACTATTTAAATGCCCTAGACGGAACAGCAGATGGAAACTACAGCTAATCCAGGTGATTTGTACTGGACATAATAAACTGCTTGCATTTTAGCTGGGTTAAAACTTGAGTCTTTCATATACAAGTTGCTTATAATGGAAAGGTTCCCTCTGAGTAAGAAGCCGAGCAAAGCGGGCAGGAGACCTGCATGGATGAGCAAGGGACTCCTGGCAAAACTCCAACAGAAGAAGGAAGTCTACAGAATGGGGCAAAGGGGACAGGCCACTTGGGAGGAATACAGGGACGTTGTCAGAGCGCGCAGGGATGCGACAAGGAAGGCTAAGGCCCAGTTGGAATTAAATCTGGCAAGGGACGTCAAGGACAACAAGAAGGGGTTCTTCCAATACATCAGTAGCAAAAGGAAGACTCGGGAAAACGTGGGCCCGCCGCTGAATGGGGCGGGTGCCCTGG